CATAGGAGAATGAGAACATAAATTTATGGTAAGTAAATAATAGTTTAATTTAAGGAGGATTAGTAAAAAGGATAAGCCGAGGTCAGTACATAGATGAACAAGGAAATCTCCTCAGCCAGATGCAAATTATGTCTCCTGACTGCCTTGTTTATCTGACTCAGACCCATGGCGAGGAAGCTGGGACATTTCTGCGGTTTGATTGCATTCTGTATTTGCGTAAGTAATTACAGAAGAAATCCAAAAGTCCTTAGGTATATGCTGTCTCTCCGAACAACTCCAAAATGAAAGATGATTATCATTAAATATCATTAAAATGCCATGGAAACTCTGCCTGGGTGGTAATTTGGTTCAAACAAGAAAAATATGGTTTTATAAACTGAAAATTATTTTAAAAGGACTCCAGACGTCCCCTTTCTTACTGCCTGTTTCATTTTCCTTTTTTCTTTCTTTCTTTCTTTTTTTTTTTTTTTCTTCAGGGTTTTGCTGTAGTTTTTTAAGAGTCTGTCCTAGAACTCACTCTGTAGACCAGGCTGGCTTTGAACTCACAGAGATCTGCCTGCCTCTGCCTCTGCCTTCTGAATGCTGGGATTAAAGGCGTGCATACCACCACGCGGCAACTCTATAGCTTTTAAATGTTGAACATGGTGCATGGAATACCATGTTCTTCCTTTTGCCAACTGTCACAATTCTTTTCTTGTTTCTTTTCCCCACATGACTTTTAGACTTATTTTAAACAGAGAGTGTAATGAGAATACATCTCCGATCGTACATTCTATCAGTGGCGTTACAGGCACCATATAAAAGCTTCTCATTCTCAGATCTTACAGCACATCAGGAGGCAGCCGTGCCTACCACAGCCCCTCCAGTGCTGGGTAAAATACAGCACTTAAATGATGGAAGAAGTCACACTGGCAAGCTTATGAAGGGAGTGACAGTGAGAATCTATTAGTGACTCAGATCAGGTTGTTGCCACTTGTTTAGCTTCTTAGGGAAATGGCCAGCTCACCACAATCCGCTGTTCAGTCGGTGGGAACTGTTCAGTGGTCTCTTAGGCTGCTTTTCATTGCTCCTTCTACTGGGAAGTAAACGTGGGACTTTGCACATGCCTGGAGGTGCTCGCCAACGAGCCACATCTCCCGTGACCTAGTGCGGCAACCCTTGGCGTCTGACACAAGGCAGAGGCATATCTCTCAGTGGATTGCTGCGAATTCTAATAGCTAGTTTTTGCATTTAACCACAGAAACAAGGACATTTTTTGATTATCCATATTTACCATCCATAAAATACCACTGTATTTTAAACTATTGGTTTAATTATTTTTAAAAAATAAAATATAAAAGTAATAAATTTATTTTAAATAGCAGTACAGAACAGTTTATTTTTGTGCTTCAGTTATCAGGGCCATGGCACTATATGAAAGGACACCATTATAATTTATAACTACTAATGAGCTTTTATGTCTTAACAATAATAATTTTATTTGAAAATTATTAATTGTAACTGAGGATCTATAAGCACTCAGTTCTTTACGAGAGAGAGCTTCACTCGGTGCTGACAGCTGTGATCGTTAGTGGCATGACTTAAAATCATGGTAAGTTTTTCTAAGTTGTACATAAGCCAAAGGAATGGTACCTTGTACACTGACCACACAGCACTGTATTAAATGTGTAGGAGTGCCACAAGATGTCCTGACTTTGGTTCCTTATAGTAATGGTCATGGTGGATGTTAGAAGTTGAAGGTAACATCATCTAGAAGTATACAAAAATCAAACCTTCTCCTTCCCCTTAACTTCCTCTTCTTCTCTCCCCTCTCCTTTAGAGACAGAGATTGTGTGTGTGTGTGTGTGTGTGTGTGTGTGTGTGTGTGTGTGTAGTCCTGGCTGTCCTGGAACTTGCTCTGTAGATCAGACTGGTTTCAAACACAGAGATCCTCCTGCCTCTGCTTCCAGAGTGTTGGGATTAAAGGCATGTGTCTCTACTACCTGATTTAAATCAGGTATTTTTTTTTCAATGTCATCTGAAAATTTTTCCATTAGTGATTCTTTTTGCCTAAGATTTTTTGTCTAGTTTTATTTCTATTTGATGTGATGGGTGTTTGCCTGGATATAGGTATGTGCATCATGTGCATGCAGTGTCCCCAGAGGCCAGAGGGGGTGATGAAGCTCAGGATCTGGAGTTGCAGAAGGTTTTGAGCTCCCTATGCATCTCTGGATGCCTGAGGGAACATTGGATCTCCCAGGGTTGGAGTTACAAACTGTTTGGAGCTGCCATGTCAGTTCTAGGAACTGAACCCAGGTCCTATGCAAGAGCAGCAGTGCTCTAACTCCTGAGCTGTCTTTCTACCTCCAAGTTTTCTTAAACTTTTATTATTTTTAATTGTGTGTGTCTGTTGTGGGGGATGTGCAGGTTCATGGAGCCAGAGGAGCTGGAATCATAGGTGGTCTGGGTGCCAAGCACCAAACTGTGGTTCTCTGGAAGAACATGCATGATCTTTTTGAAAAATTGTTTTTATTGCACTATACACTTTTGTCAGCTCCCCTTCCTTCCTCCCCTCTCCCCTTCTACCTTCTCCCATGGCCCTCATGCTCCCAATTTACTCAGGAAATCTTGTCTTTTTCTCCTTTCTATGTAGATCCCTGTATGTCTTTCTTAGGGTCCTTTTTGTTGTCTAGGTTCTTTGGGATTGTGAACTGTAGCCTGGTTTTTCTTTGCTTTATGTCTCAAAGTGACTTATGAGTGAGTACATATTATATTTGTCTTTCTGGGTCTGGGTTACCTCGATATGTTTTTTTTTCTAGGTCCATCCATTTGCCTGCAAATTTCAAGATGTCATTATTATTTAGCACTGAGTAGTATTCCATTGTGTAAATGTACCACATTTTCTTCATCCATTCTTCAGTTGAGGGGCATCTAGGTGGTTTCCAGGTTATGGCTATTGTGAATAACAGTGCTATGAACATAACTGAGCACACGTCCTTGTGGTATAATTGAGCATCCTTTGGGTACATACCCAAAAGTGGTCTTGCTGGGTCTTGAGCATGCACGATCTTAACCATGGACCCAACTCTCTAGCCCCCCCTTGCCTGAGAAAATTTTCATGAGACACCATGTTTATAAGCACATAAAATAAAAACATAGATGAAACATTTACTGATAATGTGCCATGAGTAAATCAACCCAATTGTTTAGTATGCATATAATTTTATTTACTTCTTATTATTGCGTGTGAGCATAGTAAGTGTGTGACCTGTCACAGGGATTTGTAGAGGTCAGAACACAAGTTTGTGGAGTCATTTCTTTACTTCCACTTTTATGTTGGTTCTGAACATGGAACTCAAGTCACTGGACTTGCACGGCTAGTGAGTTTACCCACTGTATCATCTCACTGGCCCAATTCTAGCATTTATTAAAGATAAATGCAATATGGTATACTAATGATATGGGAGCTCTTGAGATCACTATTTTGGGCAGCTGGAGATGGTGTAGTGGTTAAGAGTGTTTTCTGCTCTTGAGGAAGACCCATGTTCAGTTCTCAGCACCCGTGTTGGACAGCTCACAGCCTACTAACTGCAGCTTCAAGGGATCCCATGCCCTCGTTTAGCCTCTGTGGGTGCCTGCACACACACATGTAAAATAAGATAATTTTTGTATTGTACCATGTGGACTAAATTCAATTGTTTTCAGAACTGACTGATTTTTTGAATTTATAATAGCCAGTGCTGAGAATATCTCTTTTTACAAGACATAGTACAAAAAGGCAAGAGCATGTTTAGAGCTGTTTTAGAAACTGTTGGAAAGTCTGCTCTAATCCTTTTTTTTTTTTTTTTTTTGAGACAGCATTGGAGCCTATCCTGGAACTAGCTTTTGTACAGCAGGCTGGCCTTGAACTCAGAGAGCTCTGCCTGCCCCTGTCTCCAGGGATTAAAGGCGTGCACCCCCACTGCCCGATGCATTTATAATGTTTTAAAATGAAACTCAAGTCAATAATTCAAAGAGCAGCTTTTAAAATCAAACATTCTAACCCAAGTCAAAGCAAATGTACTTGCTTAGCAATGATGGCAGGGAAATATTGCAAGTCTTTGTTTTCTGTAACTAAACCGTTATGTTTAATATGTACACCAAACACTGCAAATTTATATTATACTACTGTATATGTATGTATATGTATATATATATATATATATAATAAAATATATATATATAGTGTGTGTGTGTGTGTGTGTGTGTGTGTGCATCTTGAATCTGGGCCGAGTGATTCAGGCAGTGTGTACTGGCCCTGTGTGACGAGAGCACACACACCGTAAAGTCACACTGTGCGTTCAGAACCAAGGCTACCACAAAGCCGCTTGGTGCAACAGGGGCAAACAGTACAGAAACACCTTCAGCTCACTACACATTTGGTTTTGAGTTTATTTTTGGTCATCAAATGTTCAGAAACCTCTTACTATTCCTTTTGTTGCTGCTGTTGCAACTTCGGGTCTGCAACCATCAGTTTAGGAAGCTCTTCCTCGAAGTCATTTGTGAGTATTATGGGTCTTTCAGAACTGGAGTAATTTCTTTTGTTGCCCTCGCTTGAAAAATAAAATCTAACAAACTTGCGCATCATTGCGTGGCTCAAGCATTTGAAATATGACTCAACAGCATTTTCCTTTTCTTAATAATAATGGCATATCACCAGTCTAAAACATAGGATTTGCATATTCTAGGTCTCTTTTTCTCAGCAAGTTTATTCCATCAATATACTAATTTTATTTTATTTCTTAAGGAAGCCAAATTGTGTATCATTGGCAAATATGCTAGGTACATGTGGATGTACCAATGAGATGGATACCAATTGGCAAATGTGGGAAGCAATTCTAAACGCTGGGGCAAGATTGTTAACGTCTTACCTCACTTGCCCGTGGTTAACAGTCGTCTGTGGCACTGACTCTCACACTCTTTTTCTGAGAAAGGTGGCTTTCTAAACCTCACTAAAGAGCGAAAAGAAAGCCGTTTGTTACCTGTCGACACTGAGGGCACAGAGATTCAAGACGGTGATGCCCACGGATGACTTCTGCAGGAAGGGGAAGAGCTTGCAGAGAAATACCCCAAAATCGTTGTGGTCAGAAGGCCAGCGCCCCGCCAACAGCTGAAAAGATGAGACAGGAATAAGAAATGGCGAGGCTGGTCCAGCATGCGCCCCCCCTCCCCGTGTGTCCTCAGCGAGGCTGGCCCAGAATGCACCCCCTTGTGTCCCCAGAGAGGCTGGCCCAGAATGCACCCATGCTTGCGTCCTCAGTTGCACTTTTACTATTGTGTGTGAACATGTGGCCAGATAGCAAGTTTTCTCCTTTTAGCTTTCAAGTCCCCCCCTTTCCGAATATCTTTTGAAAGAAGCTTTTCCTTTGACTCAGCCTCTTCCTCAAGCACTATAACCGTCTTAACCAGCTTATCAAACTTTCCACAGAAACTTTGTCCAAGTGTCCAGTCTTGCCACTAAAATGCTGTTCTGAACTCAGGTTCTTGGTGAACTTCATGAAAAATTCCATAACTGTGGCTGCCTAGTGTCTGGAACATATAAAGGCACGAGGCACTATTTCCGGACTATGTTTTCCGGTCGGACTATGTTTTCCTGACTATGAGTTTCGGGCTGAAGCACCCTTGAAAAGACAAGGATTGTGGTTTTAACGGCAACTTGCTACAAACTAGAATCAGCTCAAAGAATGGGGGATCTTTCAGCTCGCTCTGTCTTAGCAATAAAATAGGAATAAAAGGAGGGGGCACCATGGAAGCAAGTTGTGCAGTGCACAGCTTCCTGGCTTTTCTTTTTTATTACATTTATTTATTTATTTGTGTGTGTGTGTGTGTGTGTGTGTGTGGTGACAAAAGTGTGGAGATCAGAGCTGGTTGTCTCTTTCCATCCTGTGAACCCAGGGAATAACTCAGGTCAGCAGGCTTTGAGGTAAACACTGTTAGCCACTAAACATACTTTTTCTTTCTCTCTCTCCTTTCTTCTTCCTTCCTCCCTCCCTCCCTCCCTCCCTCCCTCCCTCCCTCCCTCCCTCCCTCCCTCCCCTTCTTTCTTTCTCTCTCTTTCTTTCTTTCTTTCTTTCTTTCTTTCTTTCTTTCTTTCTTTCTTTCTTTCTTTCTTTCTCTCTTTCGCTCTTGGGGTTCCTGATGAGTGCCAGAGATACATCTTTCCTCTTATTTACTAACACGACAACCAAACCAAATGACAAGTCTATCAAGGTCCCCAAGTTTCCCACCTAAAGGCAACCCTTCCTGATAGCTATGTGGTTTCTTACAGAAAACTTTCAATGCAATACCGTCTTTGTCCTTTTCTTAAACAAACAGGAACATATGCAAAAATAATTTTAAAAGTTTAGTGTGTTTTCTTTTTCTGGAGCAATTTAATGGAAAGCACTATTACTTAAGAAAAAGGTCTTGGGCTTTAAAATGGCTTGGATAAAACAGTTTTCGCAAGGACCACACTTGATTAGCAGCTATTTAGTATGATATCTCGGCCACGGAAAAGTAACTGCTGATTTCTTTAATGTTCACAAGCGAAGATCAGCGCCACGACAGAAACAACAAACAAACTGTCAAGTCGAAGTGACTCAAAGGCTCATTTGGAACATGGGAGCCATAGCTTATTTTTATAGCCATAGAAAGGCCTGTGTTATGAAAGCCTCACGTTGTGTCTCTTTGAGAACAGCGTGTGGTTCCTAGCATGAGAGTGTGGACCGACTGCACCAGGGCTTCCACCCCTGCATCAGAGACTCTAAAGTCATGAACTCAGACCATGTCCTCATGTTCTGACATGACGGTATGCAGGCTCGGAGTGCATATTCACGCTGTGATTTATTTTCTATTTCCAAGGTATCAATATTCCAAAGTAGCATTTCCACTATTTTTGTTAGGTGAAATGATACACAGAGCATTGGGTGGGAAAGCGTCAACTTAGGCTACAAGGTGGCTGACTGCCGTAAGCCCTCCTTTGGGTGACAGGTGCATAGCTTTCTAGGAGGTTCAGGGAAGGTCTGGGGAGATGACACACGTCGTGTGGGTAAACCCTTAACTTGTCTCCTCCCCTTTCTGCAGCAGAGTTCGGAGGAGCACCGCAGACGACAGAGGACAGTCCTCTCAGCAGGGGACACTGGCCTTTTTCTAACCAGCTGAAGTAGATGCTCATGCTAAGACTGCAAATTAATGTAAAAACTCCAATTCAGGTGGTTGATTTGGATTGTGTCAAGCCAACGTCATGAAATCGACAGGGTGTCTTTTCTTAAACCTGCTAGATATAGGTTACTTACAAATGTGTATAATCTGGTACACATGAAGGCCTGTTTTCAGAACGGCTAAATCCCAGGCACCTTTATGTCCACTTCTGCATTTTGTACTTTTGTGCAAAGTGGTGTCTTATTTGGTATGCACAGTGTCAGTTTGTGCTGTTTATCTGGAACATGCCTCACAACCAGATGTAAGGGCAAAGTCTGGGACGAGCTAGATGACGTAACATCCTGCCCTAGCGATCCCTAGTCCTGGCAGGTAAACACAGTCCTCATTGTAGGTTGGCTTATTGTTACTTCCCTTCCAGTGCTACAAGCTCAGTTTTTCTTTTTTAACTTGTTGGCAGATTCAAGCTAATCACCAGGAGAAGCACTTCGGAGAAGTATTCTCAATATGAGGATTAATGTATGAGGATTAAGGGAGTTAGTGAAAACCATCCCAGCACCTGGGCCACAACCCAGACCTGTGCTGATCTGTCTCTCTTGGGAATATGAAACAATATCAGAATCTTCTGGGTGTTAAGGACTAGGAGGGATGTTCCTGACAGCTAGGGAATAGATGCTGACATCTTGCAAGGCAGTGGCCAGTATCTCCTCCAAATAACCATCAGATGCAAGACATCAGTGCTGTTGAGGTTGAAACACACCATCCCAGGAAATACAACAGAATCTCTTGAGTGGACAGAAGTAAAGAGAGGATGTGTGGGCAGCTAGGCTAGCTACTTTGGGGGAGCTGAACAGCATCAGAGGCACCTGGAGGGCTCCTGACCACACAGACTGTTGTACTGTGTCCCAGAACTAGGGAGTCAGGAGCTCTGGGGTTGGGCATGCACATGGGCATTCCTAACTGCTCAGAGGCTCGGATGCTGCTTCAGAACCAGTATGCTAGGAGCTCCGTGAGCAGCAAAAATGAGAGTTGGTAGCCAGTTAGAACTGGATGAGCCAGGGAAAATATACAGTATATTTTATAATATACAATACGAGGGAGAAAAGCACTGTAATAGTTTGGGGATGTGGGGCTGACAGCTCATTTCCCTCACTGTCCTAAGGGCAGTGCACAGAGATTACTCAGTCAATGCAACAAGCAGTCCAGTGTCTGGACCTCACCACTTGATGCTGTTCGTTCTTGCCCTCTGGTCAGGACAGAAGAAGAGGACCTCCTGATGCTGCATGATCTAGTGTGAGCTATTTAACGCATTGGGCCTCGATTTCTGTACCAATCAAATGGGGGTGGTCTCAAGCCTGCGGTGACGGTGCGATGGCCACTTGGGAGGCTCAGACAGGACAATGCTAATGTGAGAATCCTGCCATCTGAGCACACACTATCAATGCTATATTATTTTGGATTGCTATAATTTGTAAACCCAAGATAAATGCATGTGCCATTTATGCACGACTTTAGTGAGAAAATGAGTAATCTGAGTAACTGTGCGCCTGCTTTCTGACTCCAGATCTTACTTCCTGCCCCACTGAATCTCCTCACTCAGGCTCTGGTTTGTCATTTTCACCACAGCTTAAAGCTGCACTCAGAAACCAGGAGCAGCTTTTTCTTTGTCCTGATTTCCCTCCACCCCTCTGGTAAAGCCGGGAGATTTTCCCTTTGTCTCACCACGCCCATCCTAGACAGGAATGAAGGATTTATGAACATAGTCTGCAATATTTAAAACCTCACCATTTAAAAAATGTTCACTTCCTCTGGAACATGCATTGTTGTGGGTCACTTGGAACCAGACAGACTCTAGTCCTTGAAGAGCAGGGACTGACTTGTTTCTCTCTTGCCCTCCACTCCTCTTTTCCCCTCTCCTCCCTTCCCCCTCCTCTCATCCCCACCTCCCTTCTCATCCCCTCCTCTCCTCTCCTTCTTCCCCCTCCCTTCTTCTTCCCTCTTTTCCTCCTCTTCCCTCCTCCTCTTCCTCCTTCCTTTCCCTTGTCTCCTTTTTCTTTGCTTTCCTTTCCTTCCACTCTTAGGGAGAGCCAGGATATACAGGTTGTTACACTATCCAGCCGTCAAAAAGATTATGGCCCCACTAGCACAGACTGAGATGATTTCAAAGCCTGTGATCCCAGGACAGTGCTTTTAGCGAGAATATGAGTTCTGGCTAACTCCACTCTCCGGTCAGAAGCTCCAAGATCCAAGAAAGGTTCTTGCCCCTCCATTATGTTTCAACTGCCTCTGGATTGAGGCGGAGCTCACACCAATGTAGTAAAAGCTAGCATCTGTGCCATCCACACACAGTTCTTCGTCAAGGTTCCGATTGCCTCCCGTGGTATGTGACATTCAGAGAAGGGCACAGCTGTTTGGTCTGGCTTTGGGTGCTCTCAGTGACACGGGGGACAGAGGAAGCTTCGTTTCAGCTGTGGGCCAGGTCTGATTTGTGCCTTCTCTGACCCATGGCTCAGGCACACTGGCTCACTCCTCATCTTCTCGTGTCTTCCTCTATAAATGATGTCGACTCTGGCAGCCGCCTCAGAGGACTAATTGCTACAGACAGCAGCAGAGATAACGAAGAGCTTGGCACAAGGAATGGTCTAGAAACGTGAACTGTAGTCACTGATGACCTTCGGTCAGCTCTACGTTTTGGTCTCATTTTGCTAAGGAGGCTGTCTAGCTTAGGTCACTGGGACAAAGTATCTGAGACATTCAAACTTAAGTCTGTGGCTGCCCAGCCTCATGCTCTTTGGGCCTACAAGGCAACACTTCATGGCAGGGAATGTGTGCTGGAGAGAGCTGCTTACCTCATGGTATCCTGGAAGCAAAGGCAGAGGAAGAGGAGGGGGCCAAAGTTACACAGTCTTCTTCAAGGACATGCTTCCAATGACCTAACTTCCTTCTTCCTTTAAAGGCTCTACCATCTGATAG